CCCATCTCTCTGGAAGATGTCTTCTGTGAGTGACGTAGCCCAGTGATCGCCCCAGTCAGCAGTACTCCAGGGCTGACCTTGACTCCTGGGCCAACCTTGGCGTGCAGGTCAGGCCCCTCCCCTGCCCCTCCCCTTCCTCCTCAGCTCCCTTCTCCAGAAATTTCAAAACTTGGGAATTTCATAACTTAGGACTTTCAAAACCTAAAGCAGGCAGAACATCTTTTGGTACATTTCCCTCGGTTAATGTTTAACCAAACATCTGTCTCTAAGAAGGGCTGGATTGTGGGAAGACTGGCAGGCTGAGACGCAGGGGAACTTCTGCAGCTGACTTCCTGGCTTTCCAAGAAGCAAGAGGACTGTGGGCTGGGGGCACCGGCGGGGAGCACAATGGAATCTGCTTTCACCACTAAGGACACCTACTTGAACCATTTCAATCCTCGGGATTACCTGGAAAAATACTACAACTTTTCAGCCCAACATTCTGCAGAAAACCAGATTGTTAGGCATCTTCTGGACAATTTGTTCAAGATATTCTGCCGGGGTAAGTTTGTCTGTGTGTCGTCCCTCCCCTTGGATGTGTGTCCTGCAGATAAAGTTTCAGGGCATGGTGGTGTGGTGTACAGTGATTGTTCCCTGACAGGCCCATGGGTACCTACCCTGGTTTATTTAACTAGAATACAAACTCACATTGGTGTAGGTGTTTTACAGTTTGCAAAGTACTTTAGGGCCATTTTCTCATTGGGCATGCCTCAGGAAATCCAGAGAGCCTGAGTTCTGGCCCTGGTTCTCCATAGATTTGCTGGATGACTGGGGTCCTCCAATCTCAATGGAGCACTTAAGAAATGGAGAGAGTCGCATACTTATTCTGCTCCAAATGAAAAAGAATATCATGAATATGTGTGAAATAAAGAGGTTGCAGTATGGAGAGATCTAGGCACTTTTTGGAGAAAGAAACTCGTTAGTCATTGTTTTTTAAAATATCTAACTTTCCCTCAAAATATTCCTCAATAGTTTTAATATCTGTATGCCAGATGTAGAGCCTCCCCCACCCTTCTAGAGCCTTAAGATTTTCCAGAAACATGCCTCCACTCTGAATTAGGGAATGGAAAATGATGACATGCTTTAAAAAGATTTTGGCTGAGAAGGCGTTTGAGTTGAGAGGCGATCTGTCTTTGCAATCTCATGCACAAACTCAGGGAAGCTCATGTACCTTTCGCTCTGCCTTCTGCCATAAGACACCTGACCCTTCTCCCTCTTCCCTCCTCTGAGCCAGATGGCGTGAAGGGAGACCTCCTGGTTGACATTGGCTCTGGCCCCACCATCTATCAGCTCCTCTCTGCTTGTGAGTCCTTTAAGGAAATCGTCGCCAGCGACTACACAGACCAGAATCTGCGGGAGTTGGAGAGGTGGCTGAAGAAGGAGCCGGGGGCTTTTGACTGGTCTCCGGTTGTGAACTACGTGTGTGAGCTTGAGGGAAACAGGTAGAAGAGCCGGGCTGTTTCTGTCTCTCAGAGGGACCCCCAGGGGCAGCTTGCTTTTCTGAATCAAAAATTATCCTTACAGTTCAAAGGTTCTAGCAAGACCAATAGAGATCCAATTGAAGGAGGAATCCTGATGGAGCGTGAAAGAGCTAGAAAGGACAGAGAGATATATGTGTGTGTGTGTGCTCACTTGCATATGCATGCATGTATATACAACTTCTGATAGCTAGAGATAAATCCACATGAAGAATGAGAGCATGAGAGAGAGAGAGAGAGGTGTATGTGCTTTACACATGTCCTATCTTCCCTCTCCTATGATTTAATTTTCATATGAACTCTTTCTCCCAAAACCCACATTCTTCTCTAATTTCTTTTGCCCCTTTGTTTACTACACCCTCTGTGCGCTGCACACCAACCTCTGTGTTTCCCCTGCCTTCTCATCCACAATGGGGAGCAGTATGTATTTTCTAATAATCTATCCCATAATTTGATCTGAAGAAGGCTCTGATTTCCTGCCAGGACACCCCCCACCTCCTCTCAGGAAACAAATATGAGCATTTATTTTTTGTTCTTGGCTCATGGTAAAAACAAAACAAAACAAACAACCCGGGCATTCATTCATTCATTATTGAATGAACGTCTATTGGGGACATGTCTATGAGATGCCACAGTACTCGCTACTGGGATTCATGGTGAATGGGACAGAAAGTGGCCCTTTGCCCCCTAGCGTCCACACCTGGAAAGGCAGGCAAGTAGCAGACCTATTAAACTCAAAACTTCAAACTCCCTGCCATCCTGTCTGTGCTGATCCCCTGTGGTTTTCCAAGATGGTAACTGCTTGTGGGAGTAGAAAGCCAAGTCTTTCTCCTGAGTTGCTGCTGGCGGTTTTGAACTGCCGACCATGCAGAGTGCAGCCCCGCGTGTAACTGCTACGTCCCCAGCACTCCTTTTGTAGACATTGAGGGCGCTGGTGACAAGGACAGGCCAAGTTTAAGATATGAACTTCAGTTCAAGTGCAATGAGAAGGCATCAAAGGTATCATCAGCAGAGTGTCTGCAATCCAATCTCCATCGATAAAGATTACTGTGCGGACAATGGATTGGGGGAATTTAAAGGGAAATAAGGTGTGAAGAAAGGAGACGATTTCAACCCAGGTGCGAGAGGATGGCTGGCGGCTTGGATGAGGGCGGTGGGGAGAGGTGGATTGTTTTAAGATGGATTTTTGAGCTAGGAGGAATAAGAGTTGATAATGCTCGGTTACGCGTCAAGGAGACCCCCCCTGTCTCTGAAGTTGAACAATAAAGGGGGTTGGGGTAATATTCCTAAATCCCAGGAATCAATATGAAATGACGTGATCCTGCCACATCCCTAAGAAAGGTGCTAACTGGCCTGCTTCCACGCTCCTTCTTGTCCAGAGACGGCCAGGTCCTGTTCTGTAACTGCACTTGCCTCAGATCCCCATCTGCTTGCAACTTCTGCTTATCCCTGAGAACCTCCTGAGAACCCCCTCCCCTTCTCAAGCAAATTGTGGAGTCCGCTTCTCTTTCTGGAACCCTGCCATTTCTGGTCACGGTTGTCTGACTCCTGGCAACTGTGTTCCTCTCGAGGTTTGGGGAGTCTGCGCCACTTTCTTCCCTCTCACGGGTACACGGTCATCTGGCTGGTGACTGGACGGTCGGATGGGAGTTATCAAGGGGACTCCCTCATGGTCCTTTGCCTTAGAGAAGAACAGTGTCAGGATCAAGTAGGACCTTTTGTATCCTGCTGCCAATGCACCTTTTGATAGCATGCGGTTGCTACACTGCCAGTGGCGGTCTCTCCTGTGTCCTTTCGGCCACGTTTCCCAGTTGCCATCATCCTTCCTGTGATTGTCTTTCATCGAGGTACACGGATTCTACCCATGGAATTGCCGCCTCCGATCTGACGCAGCCCGCTTCCCTCACCCCATCTGTACATTTTGCTTTCGGATAGTAATCCTCGGTACAATTATTGACCTAGATGCTATGTCCATTTTATATGGGTTTCTTCCAGTAGAGTTTTTCATCCTGAGCTATCACTTAGTCCACTGACGAGGTCTTCAAGCCTTTTTTAAAAAAAGAATAAATCATAAGTGGCATATTTCTCCAGCCCAACCAAATATGGGGATCTATAACACCTTCAAATTGCTTCCTACTGTTCCAGAATTGAATAAGAAGTTGATCAATGATGCTTCCCTATGCCACTTGAACCTGGAGATCTCTTACTTGAGATGTTGATGACCTTCATGAGGGCACAGCAGATAAGGGACAGGTGGGCAGTTTGAACCCACCTGTCCCTCCGAGCGGGACAAGACTTGCTGATTGGCTCCCATGGAGATGACAGTCTAGGAAGCCCTCTGAGGTCCTTCTACTCTGTCCCACACGATGGCCAGGAGTTGGAATTGACTCGATGGCACCTAAACCTTAGCCTTGGAGGAGTCCCTGGGTGGCACAAAAGGCCCAGTGCTCAAGGACTAGCCAGAAGGTTGGCAGTTGGAACCCACCCAGAGGCACTTGAAAGAAAGACTAGTGGCTCTCTGCCTTGGAAAACCCTCTGGAGTGAAGTTCTCCCCTGTAACATGTAGGTTGCCATGAGCCAGAACCCACGCTCTACGCTTCAACATGCAGGCTCTCTCCTGCAAAACACAGGGGATCAGAAACAATGTGAGGGCTACCAGTCAGAGCACTCCCATTGAAGACATTCTGCAAAAACACAAGTGCTTTCCATCTTCCCCTTTCTACTGCTCATGTGCTCCACAGACGGAAACTGGTCTTCAGCGATGGGGACAGGACTGTTGCTCTGTGGATTGGGACAAGGTCCAATATTATAAAATCAATGGAGAATTTATCAGGATTTGTTGAATTTCAGAGAAAGCTTATCAAACAAGAAAAAAGATTTTAGGCACTGTCAGACAACACACTTTTCCAAAGTCCAAAGCATGTTTCCAGAAAGTTTGGGGACTTGGTTCTCAATTTCTCTGTCCATCACAACCCTCCCCTTCTCATTCAAAAAATGAACCCCTAATATCTAGCGGGGTCCTCAAAGCATCCCTTATCGTAGGCCAGAGCCATCAACTCGGAATAACTGGTCCTTGAGACACTGTCCCCTCCCAATCACTCTGGGACAGTGAGCACCTGTATCTTGGTTAGTCAACGTTGATCTGCATTGTCACCCTTCTCTGCTTGCTAGATCCTGTGGCTTCAATTATTTTGAGCTTGACAGTGATCCCACTCCACTTTCACCTTCAAGTACCGCTATCAACCCCCAGCCTATTTCCCCTCAAGATCATTGCTTCCTTATCTGCAGCCATTTCTCGCGCTGACTGCAGCCAAAGACAAGCCGGGCCGTCTCCTGCCCTCTTTTGCTCGTGGAGCCTGGCTCGTACATCTGGCTGGCACTCACTTGCACAGGGAGCCCCAAAGTCGTAAGACTCTGGTACCAAATGGCTTGTCTCGCCGGTTCCTTTATCAACGCAGGAAGTCAGACACGCAGGTATCACGAACCGCTCGGGCCGACGTCGTGAACAGAGTGAACTGAGCTTTTCACCTGAAGAAAACCTAGTTAACGGCTTCAATTAATCCTTGGCTCGTGGCGCTTGGAGCCCATTGTCTGGCCTCGTGGTCCCTCAGACCAGCAGCCTTGGTATCCACCCAGGAAACTTGTCAGAAATGCAGACCCTCAGGCCTATGGAATCGGAACCTGGATGTTCAGGCAGGCTCCACGAAGGATTGAATTCACTTTACAGTTGTGTGCACTGATGGCACAAGCCGGGTTTCCCAGCATGTGCCAGGGCCCACCTGGGCTCGTGGGGATGATTTACAAATGTGGTCTCCATGCAGACCCCTTCCACCCTCAGCAGGGTTGGAGGCCCCCCACCCAATTGCTCCTGTAGAAAGCAGCTGCCCCGCTTTCCTTCGTGCACCTGACAGGAGAAAGGCCGAGCATCTAGAGAGGTGGCACTGCTCGGAAGTGAACATTCTCTAGACCAGGATTTCCAAACCTACGGCAAAAGACGTTCATCCCTTGCCCAAAGTGGACACCGCCATGATAAATAGGCTCTGTGGGCTGACTCCTGGCCTGTCTTCCTAGCCTTGTCCGATTTGGCGTGGCCTGTAGGACTCCGTGGGTCATCCTTCTCAAGACCAGGCTCTGGTTGGTGACCGCTTCCCTGAAGCCTAAGAAAAGGGTTCTGCTTTTTGTAAGGGTGTTGTTCAACTCTCACACCACACTCACTGCCATCGGGTTGATCCTGACTCCTCACAACCCTCTCGGATAGCATAGGATGCCCCTGTGGGTGGTCAAGATTGTAACTCTTTACTGGAGTAGAAAACTTCATCTTTCTCCCAAGGAGCACCTGGTGATTTCGAACTGCCAACCTTGGTGATTATTAACCCAACACATAAACCACTACACCACCAGGTCTCCTAAGGATGTCACTGCGTACTATCAAGTCAATTCTGACTCAGAGCAACCCTATAGGATGGACTGTAGCTGCTTGATTGGGCTTCCCAGGTTGTCATCTTTATGGGAGTGGACCGATGACCAGTGTTTTCTCCCATAGAGACACTGGGTAGGGTCAAACAGCCCACCGTCCAGTTAGCGCCTGAGGGCTTAACCAGTGCACCGCTAGGGCCACCCAAAACTCACTGCTGACTCATAGAGATGCTCTGTGGCTTTCTGAGACTGTAACTGTTTGCAGGAGTAGAAATCCCAGTCTTTCTCTCTTGGAGCTGCTGGTGGTTTTGAACTGCCAACCATGTGGATTGCAGCCCAACTTGTATCCACTACATCTATCTTAAATGGGTGCTCTCATTACAATGCCTCTGTGAGAAAATTCACAGGGCAGGTGGAGAAGCCTTCAGCTAGCCATTTCCTTCCAATTATAAGCACTCCTACTGTATGTCTCTAAGTATCTTAAACTTGTCCAAACTAGAGCTTGTGATCTTCACATCTGTCCCACATCTGGCATTCCTTATCTCTGTGAGT